GTGGGGTGCCACTGCGCCCCTCCCTGGTCTCAGGGTCCCAGGTATCAGGTGACTCCAGCCCTGGAGGGGAAGGTGTATGCACCTAAGGGCGGTGGTCAGACCCCCAGGACTGACGCCAAGCACTATTCTGTGGGTTGGGTCTGCACTAGATTGGCAGAGTGTTCAACTCTACCCTGGGCACAGCAGCCTGGGGCATCCGGAGGGGAAGGTGTATGCACCTAAGGGCGGTGGTCAGACCCCCAGGACTGACGCCAAGCACTATTCTGTGGGTGGGTCTGCACTAGATTGGCAGAGTGTTCAACTCTACCCTGGGCACAGCAGCCTGGGGCATCTGCTGAGAGACAGTGCCACCTAGTGGGCAGTCGGTGCTCATGCCAGGCCCCACCGCCTCCACCTTGACTGCTCCAGGGCTCAGAGGCTCACCATGCAGGGTCCCTGCCCCTCTGCCCTGGAGGCGGCAGCAGGACACCCCACAGCATAAGCTGAGATTGGCTCTGCCAATGGAGAAAGTGGGAAGGTTAGAATTTTAGCAGAGATCCATGCGGTTTCCCATACGGGCAGAAGAGCAGGTTCCTGCCCTCAGACTAGTGAGCCCACAGTGGGAGAGACTGGGCCAGTTGGAAGTTTTGTTGTTGCTGTGGCTATGTGTTTGTCTGTAGTGTCTTTAGGCACACAGAGAAAATCACAGTATGCTTATGAACCTCTTCCAGGCATGCCCAACCCCTCTCCTCCAACTCACAGTCCAGGGGAATTCTCGGCAGCCAGGTCAGAGGTGACCATGTGGAGGTGGGGGCAGTTCACAGGGCACCCTAGGAGCAGAGAACCATGCCTACTACCCCCTCCCCAGCGACTCTTCCCCAGATTCTTCCCCTGCTCCAGGTTCAGCTCCAGGAGGCCCCTCCCCAGAGAAGAAAACAGTGCTTGGGAACTGGCACCTGCACCAGGGCAGAGCCCCATGACATCTGTGGATGTGACCTGCCTAGGGCCCATGGTTGGTCACACCCAGGACTGGCTCCTGGCTGCTCAGCAATTTTGGGGCCAGGTCAACAGCTAAGTGAGGTCACCGCAACCTCCTTAGACAATGACAGAGCTCATTTTTACTCTCAACTGTTGGCTCATCTAAACAAGATAAAAAGAGTTCTCTTAAAAATATTTTCTCAAATTTCCCTAATCATAAAAGAAACGTATGTACAGTGTTTAAAAATTAGCTTTACAAAAATGTGTGACCTGGAAGTGAAAGTCCCTTATATAGTCCTGCTCCTATAAAAATTTTCTATTAACAACCTGATATATATATATTCCAACAGCTATATTGTTCTATACACATACACGTGTGAACGTGTGGGCGGGGGCTGTGATTTTTTTTCTATACTGATACGTGAGGGTACTTCAAAAATTTCATGGAAAGATAGAATTAAAAAGATAATATGAATCTTTCCATTAACTTTCTGATGTACCTTTGTATAACTCCACAACTTATTTTGATTTTTTCCATTAAGAATATTCCACTAGAAGTATTCTTACCACCCCAGCTCAAATTCAGGTCAACTCAGTGACACAAAACCAAGCAGGGAGAAAGCTGAGTCCCCAGAGACTCAAAAGCTGAGGGTTTCAGATAGACCTAGCTTTGGAGCCAGGGGAGAGGGCAAGAAACCCAGATCAGCTCTGAAGGAGAAGAGACCCCTCCCAAGGGATCTCAGGAAGGGCGAGGGCAAACTGCACATGCAATAGGCTGCAGCGTCAGTGCAGCGGGCAGGCCTGGGAGGGCACGCCCAGGCAAGCTGTGCATGGTAAGTGGCTGTCCCAGGGAGCCGCCGGAGCCACCGAGTGCCCTGAAAGATTTCTGCTGAGTTGGGTGCACAGGCTGGGTCACACCCAGCAACAGCGTTTGGGAACTGGTACCTGCACCAGGGCAGAGCCCTGTGACATCCAGAACAAGGGCTGGCTGGCGATCTAGGTCAGCACCAAGACATGCAGCCCCATGTGCCAGACTGGCAGTCCTACCTGCTAGCCTTGCGGCACAGCAAATGCACCCATCAGCACTCTGCTTCTGGGAGTGCACTTGTGCCTGGACATGCCACAGGTTGCAAGATTTTATGGCCAATATTCCAACAAAGCATAAAAAGAAGAGGTAAGGCCAATATAGAGATGCTGGTCAGAATACCGGGCTAAAATGTTAGGATAAGCCTTCCAGAGAGGGACAGCCTCGATAAGCAGACAAGGGACATGGAGCTGCCCAGCAGCCTGGTCGGTTACGGTGAGAGGACACTGAAGAGCCTGGCTCTGGAGCTGGGCTGCAGGTTTGCCTCCCAGGACTCCCCAGTAACTGGCAATATGGCCAAGCACAGTGATTTATTGCTTCCTAATCCCAGTTCCCTTGCATGTTGAGTGAAAGTAACATGCGTGGTAGCTAGCCACAATAAATGAAATGATACATATCGCACACTTAGCACAGTACCTGCTACACAATGAACACTCGAATGCTACCTGTGGCCATGATGGCTGGCTGAGGTCATCCATAAAAGATATAACTCCCTCGGGCACACAGAGCTATCCAGGGCATTTGGGGAATCCCCTCTGGCCACAGCCAGAACTACACCAGCCACAGTGTTGCCTGCACCCAGCACTGTCTTAGCACACAAGGGCAGTTTCGCTCTACCTGGACAGGGTGCTGCTGGGTGGCGGGGGAGGCCAAAAGTTAAGCAAACCCAAGAACCAGAGTCTCTGCAGTTACAACACCTCCATTTCTTGCCTCCTCCAGGGCCTAGAAAGGGACCTCACTATCTGCCTTGTCTTTGGCTCCTGAGGAGGAGGATAGGCAGGGGGTTCTGGAGGGTCCCAGGGCTCAGCTCTGTGGGTGGGGGGGAGCTGCAGCCCCTCCTTGTCTGCCCTCAGTCTCATGAGTCACCCATCTAGGAGGGCTGGAGCTGCACTTTCTAAAGGAACCACAACCTGGTGCCCCTGGGAAGGGCTTGGCTGGCCATGCTGGCCCTCAACTCACCCTGGTCGATAGAGTGCTGTGGCAGCTGGCTGAGCTGGCTGTTGACCACCCCTGCATAGGTGCGCAGGAACTCCTCCTCACTGGCTGTCAGCTGCAGGGTGAGAGAGCTGCGGGTAAGGGACAGCATGTACCTGCTCCCTGAAAGTCACCCGCACCCCCAAGGCCCCCACCCAGGTTCGCCTGGTCTCTGGGTGGTGCCACCTCCTTTGTTCTCTGGGCTTCTATTCCTGAGATTTGACTCCTTTGGTTACAGAATAAACACACTCTTCATCCACCCTGTACCCATGCCTGAAACTTGGTCCATGGGGTCACAGGCCTTGCCACTCAGGTCGAATCTGAGATCAGAGTCTAGCCTAGCACAGGGCCGGTACAAGACACAGGCCCTGCCTGGAAAGCCAATGGCCATTCTGAATCCTCTCTCTTTTTGAGACAGACCCCTGCACCTGCCTGTGCCATTACTCTCAGTGCCCGTCCTACCCAGTTGCCCCTCGGATACCCCTGGGAGAGAAGACTCTCGGGGGTCGGGAAGGGGGAGAAAAGGAAGGTCAGGGCCTTTACCCATCTAGTCCCAACATGGCATAAGGATCAGGAGACATCTCAGCAGTGCCTCCAGAACTGTACATGCTGGGCTCTGAACCAAACCACAGGCCCAGCAGCTCCCTCTTCAAACCATGGCTCCCTAGGAGATAGCTGCAGTCCCATCCGTCCTCCATCAGGGCAGCAGGTCTCTTTCCTAGGGGGCCCGTTGCTTGACACCCCACAGTCACTCACGTTTGATCCCATCTTTCTCAGCATGAGCAGCACTCGGACCTTCTGCTGAATGTACATCTCCTCCGGACTCTTCCCGGGAGCTCCCTCGCGGTTCATCCCCCTGACCCAGCTCTGGGGACTCCTGCAGAGCAAGAAGCAGCACTGAAGGGAAAGGGTCAGGATGAGACACACTCAGATATGGACACCTGCTGGGTGACGCACACACTTCTCAAGCAGCCCTTTCCCACCAGAGGTCTCATTTCTAATATTACAGAGCAGAGGGCAAGATGCCTGCTTCCTCCCTTGCTCTGCTGGCCCCAGCCAGTTAGACTGCGCACCTCTGTTCTAGAGCAGGTGCTGCAGGGGGGCTGGCCTGCCTGCCACCTCTGTGCATGGAGCTGCTGAGCCCAAGGAGACTGTCCAACTCTGCCTCCCAGCCACCCTTGCAATGAGGCTCCTGCTCTAAGCCACAGGAGATGGGGTGCACAAAGCCCTAAATGTCCCAGTTTTACAAAGCAAGCAGCTCCACAAGCAGCTGATTGGGGTCTTTGGCTTGAGATCAGTGCCCAGCCCCCAAACACCAAAATAGCTTCCTCTACAAAAGCCCCCGATCGGTTCGAGAGGCCAGCTCCTGGGCTGGGCTCCAGGGAGTCCCTCGATGGGGAGAGGCTGGCCCAGGGCTGTGGAGCACAGGGAGCCAGCCGGGCATGCTACTGCCACCCTCACAAACCCACCACACCAGTCAGAGGGAGGCTTCTACAAGCAGGTGTGAAGGCCAGCAGCTGTGTCCAGGTGCAGCAGGGACCTGACCTGCAGAAAGGCCCAGGAGAGAAGTCCAGAGTGTCCTCCCTCCAAGAGGAGCTGGAGGAGAGGAAGCCGGGCATGGAGGGGCTTGGGTTACACACTTATAACTCCTGGATGAGTCAGAAATAACACAGCAGCTGGTGGGGTGGAGCCTTACCAGCCCCCGTGCCAAGGAGTTGCGTTCGGAGAACCAAGGAACTGGGTTGGCAGGCCGAGGACACTCCTCACCCCGTCCACCCCTCAGGGGCCAGCCAGCCCTGGACCAGCAGGCTCTCCCGGGCAGGGTGGCTCTCCATACAAAGGGCGGACTCCACAATGTGCCAGCACCTGGGCAGCAGGCTCCCTGTCGGTACTTGTCAACTGCTCATTCCCCATAGCAAAAAGGGGCTGTCATCTTAAAAGCTAGAAGACTGGCCAGTTGGGGCTCATGTAGCAGCTGTGTGCTTGATGTGACACGGGCCTTCCTTCAGTGCCTTCCTTCCCAGGTAAAGCCCCAGACTCCTTCCTCTACTGTCTGCTCCTTTTCCACCTCCTCCTGGGCTCACAAAGGGCCAAATTAACAACTAGGAAAGAGAAGTAACCCCGCCTCTGATGAGGTAGTCCCAGCCATGCCCAGGCAACCCTCATTTCCTGCACAGCTGGGCGGGAAAGCTCGGTTCTGGGATGTCACTTCTTGCTTCTCACCCATGCAGCACTGTGGTCTGGGGCCGGACTCCACTTGGCCTGCATCCCGGCTTTGAGCGCACATTCTGTGGTCTCCATCTCCTCCCCAACAGCCACCTCAATTCTATGTGGCCTCCTCATGATCCCTCCACTTCTGTCCTCATCCTTTCCTCTACATAGTAGCCAGAATGGTCTCTAAAGACACCAGGACAGATGACATCACTGCCTGCTTAAGCCCACCTGTGAACACACCTCAGTCTCTGCTGGGACCCCGCGAGGCCTGCCCGGCCAGCCCTGCCTCCCTTTCTGCCTGCCTCTCCCTACTCTTGCCCTTGCTCTGCCCTCCTGGCCCCCAGTCTGTTTCTAGAACATGCCGAGAAGTTCCCTCTCCCTGGCAGCCTCTGCACTCAGTGTCCCCTCAGCCTGGAACTGGCTATTTTCATCCTTCATCTCAGCTTAAAGACACCTTCCCAGGGAAGCCTCTCCAGAAGCAGCTCTTTTTTTTTTTTTTTTTTTTTTTTTGAGACCGGCCACACCGCACTCAGCCAGTGAGCACTGTGAGTGCACCGGTCATCCCTATATAGGATCTGAACCCGTGGT